CTGTATTATATGTATACGATGTGATATACATTGCATGTATTTCGTTCATAAATATATAATAAATATGAAAAAATTAGTCTCTCAGGAACAGAGAATATCTTGAGTTTCCAGTTTTATTGCTATGCACGATAAAAACGATGAACACATCCAATCTCTATACTTATTACGTACTTATTATGTTATATTTCTATCTAAGATTAAAAAACAATTCGCACACACCGCGTAAATTTCACAAGAAGATTTTTCATGTAATATCAAAGATTAAAATTTTATATAATCAATTACAGTTTCCGTGTAAAATTCTTCTAGGAAAATTCTATTATATTTTATGAAATTATATTCCTATGTTGGTTTAAGATTTTAAGATGATTTTCTAAGTTATAAACAGATTGTAGAGTTATAATCAATTTAGATTAGAAATAAATAAGGATATGAAATTATCTAAAGTTTTCATATGTTAAAACATAATTAAGCTTTTGAAGCGAGATTAAATATGAATTTTGATCAGGAATAGTTTGGTTTTTTAATTATAATTCTATAGTTTATAATAGTAATAAAATATAGTTTATAAATAAATAGTAATAAATATTAAATAGTAATAAAAATAGTTTATAATAGTAATAAAATATAATAAAATTTAAGTTATAAATTTCTTATCATATATATAATTTAATGAAAATTAATTTATTATATTATATTATTAATTATCACTTTTTTATCGAAAATAAGCAAATGATATTTGAAATAACCAAAATTGTATTTACTTGAAATTAAAAATTAATAAATAGAATAATTTCTTCAAATTATCAGTTTTTTATAACGTATAACTTTAATTATAATTATAATTAATTATAATTAATTATAATTTTTTTTATTAATTCTCAATGGTATCATAATTAGATAACATGGATATTTATATTAATAAAATTTATATAATAATTTACAATTATAAATTATATAGTTATTCATATTTTTATTTTATAATCTATATTAATTTGATTATATCATTTATATATATATATAATATATATAAAATAAAATATAAAATATAAAAATAAAATAATATTAATAATTTTTATTCTTTAAATATAAAAAGTAAGATAAATTTAGTAATTTAATTTAAATTAATAAAATAATATCTATTCAACCATATAAATAATTTTATAAAAAATACTATTTTTGTAATTAAAATCTTAAAATGAATTTGCGATTGAAAACAAATGGAATAATTGTATAATTAAAGGATTTCATAATAAACTTGGAAAAAATAACACAATTCATAATACAATCTTTCAGAACTATTACAAACAGCAGTTACGTTAAACAAGTTCGAAAGAAGCGAAGTTGATAAATAATAAAATAATTGCAATTCTAATCGATGATTGAAACTGTCATCAGAAAGAATCATCGTTAGAATATGAGGATTCCTTTCAAGAAATTGAAAACATGTTTTGATCAAGTTTTCGAAAAATATAGACCAATAAAGTATTTGTTTCCAAATAGTGGCTTCCAAGTTAGTTGTTCATCGATATTGATAGCTTTACTATATTTTTGATGTTGAAACAACGATGAGATAAAGTAGTTTTCCAATAGTCATAACTTGAAGAAAAATATCATAAAATTAATTTTTATTTAATACTTTCTTTAAGATAAGAATTATTAAAAACTCAAATTGTATAAAAAAATTTTTTTATTAATTTAAAAAGAATACTATTATATATAATAATTATATATAATAATAATATATAATAGTAATATATAATATATAATAATAATATATAATAATACTAATAATATTATTTTTATTTTTGTGTAAATTAAAAAGCCTTCAAGAAAATATTCTCTTTATTCTTAACCTTAAAAACCTAAGAAATTACTAAATTTTAAAATTTATGTATGAAAATGTAAAATATTCTTTGTATTTAAATTGTAATTTATAATATAAAGATTTATAAAATTGTTATATATTAAACATTATCTTTGCAAAAAAATTTTTATTTTTGTATTTATAATATAATCAAGCATCATGTAAAATTCAGTTACATGAAATAGACTTTAAAATATTTAAGTTCCCATACATTAATTGAAAAATTTAACATATCTAATAATTATTTGTTTAATAACTAAAATACTTTAGTTAGCAATTTTAACTGAATATCTATAATATGAGAAAATATAATAATGCATGAATTTTTTTCATTTTATTTCAAATTTTTTCGAAATTTTTTCAAAATGATATAAATGATATATTAGAATTTATGAATAATTATGAAATTATTCATAATATGAGTATTTATAAATTTATTCTAAGAATTAATTTTATACCATTTCTTGAAAAATAATACAATAATAATTAAGAGATATAAATCTTTTAATAAAAGTATAATTTTTCACCAATTTTTTATTTTTTTTAATTATATTTAACTGATTTTTTGCGAAAATCTTAAATTTAATTCCATTCTGATATTTCACAAAATAGCATTTGGATTTAATCCTTTATTATCTTCTTTGCTTATTAACAAAAGGAATTTTTTGCAACATATACTAACAGCAATTATAGTTTTCAGTTAATTCAGTTAAATCTTCAAAGAAATTAAACACATTTCAACGAAATCGCAATCTGAAAACATGGAAAATAGAAGCAAATTTTTTGTAACGCATTATCTTTGTTATTAATCTAAAAAATTTTGTTATTAATCTATTAAAATTTGTTTGACAATTAGTACTATAGATATTAGTAATATAGTTAAATATTTAAATAAGCGTACATTATGATGGACAGTTTTCTTGAAAAACACATTTCAAAAAAAGAAGACAATAATTGATCAATAAATATAAAAATCTATAGCTTTAAGAAATCATAACTTAATATTACAAATTAATTATTAAAATCAATTTGAATATATATCTTCTTCATAAAAAGATAGAGTATATGACTCCAATTTAAAAATTATCGGAAAATGGCAGAACAAAACATTGTTATAAATTTAAACACATTTTAAATACATACTAATATATAATGGAAACTGGAAATTAAAAATTCTGGTTTTGACAAAAAAATAAATTAAATAAATAAATAATATAATAAATAATAAAATAAATAAAAAATGACTGGAAAATAATGTAGTTATTTTTTTTTTAATTGAATAACTCAACATTAAGTTTATTATATTTTAAAATATTTAATATATTTAATATTAAAAAATTCAAAATATTTAATTTATATTTATATATAAATATATAGCAATAGATTTTTCATTGCAATTTATTTATAACTAATCGAAATGGAACAATAAATTTTGTCATGAAATTGATTATTACCGAATTGTAAGTAGTTCTTAAGAAATAATTTCAAATATAAATACAATAATTTATCGATTAATTTTAAATTCTACTAATAATAGTTTAATAGTTTTTTAATAATTTATTAAAAATAATCTAATGATAATAATAGTAATCTAATCTAATAATAATCTAATAATTACTTAAGTTATTAATAAAATAAAATAAAATAAAAAAATATAAAAATATAAAATGTAATAAGATCTAATACTAATAAAAGAATAAAATAAAGTTTATAAAAAAGGATAAATTTTAGAATTTCTAGATGATTAGAATGACAGAAATAATTTATATATTTGCAATGAAGACAAGCTATCAGCATGATAATAACTAGTCCCCATCGATATACATAATTTGTAGAAATATTCTGTTCATTGATTTATTATGTTATATTTTCTATTACAACATATTTTTAAATGTTATTTGATTCATAAATATCAATTATTATCATTGTTTTTTTTTATACTTATGAATACATCGAAATAAAATACAAACATATAATCGAGTCACATTTTTTTTTACAATTGAACTCATCATATTTATTAATTACCATCAATATTATAGTATATAGTATATATGCTAATGTGTTATTTGATGAAGTAAGTGGTTTACTGCCTGTACCCTCTGAGATGCCATTTATTCAATTTATCAACACATAATACCTTATCTTACACATATTAGATCTTATGTAGAATTTCAGATTCATTTTTACAGATAAAATGAATGATAAAATGGTGTGATCGACGACCAGAGTGGATGTAATTGCGTCAATAATAATTGAAAGCATAACATCAACTATTTTTATTTTATTTTAACTGAGATATTTTTATTTTAAAAATATAAATATAATAAAGTATCTTATCTCTCTTTGAATCTTTTAATTTCAATCTCTCCTATCGAATTAATAAGGAAACAAATATATATATTATACTGTATACTGAAACAAATATATGTATTATACTGTACAATATATATTATTATACTGTCAGAAAAGAAATAATAAATAATGTAAATATTAAAGAATAAATCTGTAAATATTATCCTAAAAAGTAAAACATAGATAAATTATTTAATAACAAAATTTTATGAAAGATCTTATAGACATTTCTTCTTACATTTACCTTATCTACAATTATATTTTATATTTTATATTATTTTTTTTTTTATATCTACGATTACATTTATTTTTCATGTAATTTTACATTTTCTATTGAGCGTAATATGAATTTAGTATCATATAACATATTTCATTTATTTATAATATTTTAATAGAAATAAAATTTTAATCCATCAAAAAAACATTACTGAAATATAATATCAATTAATTATAAAAATTATTACTTAATTATTATATTAATTATAAATTAAAATATAAATAAGATATAATAATTTTTAGAAGGATTAAGATTTTGTCTCTAAGAAAAGAAATAAAAAATTTTATTAAAATAAAAATACATACATATTAAAAATACATTTTATTTTTCCCTTTACTGATATTTTTTACAAAAAAAGTTTCTATATTTGTTTCTTTATTTCTTTAATTGATATTACATTTATGATATAATATCTATTATGATAATGATAATAGTGAAAAAATGCAGAACTTGATTAAAAAAATTCATATTATGATTTATATAAATGAGTTGATTGGCAGTATGATACCATAGTGATTTTGTAGTCTATTCAATTATTTTGTATTCGAAACATACATTGGTAATATGGTGAGTAAAATAATTAACAATTATCACTTATTTTATATTACTTTTAAATATGAAGGAAATGTTAAATATTGTACAGATTCCATATATTATATGATCCCTAAATAATAAAGTAAATTATAATTTACCATTATTTGCATTAATATTTGATTTTAAAAATTAACTTATATTAACTTATATATAATTGTATAACTTATATACAATTAATATTTAAAAAAAAATATTTAATAATTGTATAAATAATAAATAAATAATAAAATTGTATAAATAATAAATAATTGTATAACTTATATACAATTAATATTTAAAAAAATTTTTAAATTTCCATGTTTTTAAAATATCTTAATCATTGTTTGCATGGAATAATTCAGTATTAATATTCAATATTTAAAAAGCTAACTTTAATTAATTAATTTATAATTAAGTTATAATTAATTAACTTTATTTAAGATATTTCAGATGTAAATTTATGAATTTCTATATTTTTTACATATCTTAATATCATTCATACTCATGATTCAGTATTGATTTAATTCATTCGAAAATTTAAATTTCTATAAATATCTATATTTAAAATACTTTATAAATTAATAAAAAAAATTAACAAAATTAAAGAAATACGAAATTTAAAAATCCTTCCTCAAAATTTTTTAAATATTTTAATATTATCATTATTCACATTCACAGATGAAATTCGCTTTGGTAATTTTGGTCGCTTTGGCCGTATCTAATCCTTTGGAGGCCTACAAAATCCCAAGCGTTGGAAATGGTGCCCTTGCTAATGAATTGCAAAAATTCGTTGATCTTATCCCCCTAGATAAAATTAACGCAATCATCAGTCTTTACAAAAAAGAAGATGCTGAGTTTCAACAATTGCTCAAATACTTTCAATCGTCAGAATTTAAACTTCTAGTAACTGAGATAGAAAGTCTTTCTGAATTCGTTGATATATTGAACTATGAACAACGTGCCGGCCTTGATGCATACTATTTAGTCAACCAGATCAATGAATACTTACATTTGTCGAAGCTCACACCACCATTCTCACGTGCCAAAACATCCGGAATCCGTGGTTTTCTCGATGAAGTAGAAGCTTTGATACCTTTGGACAAGCTTAAGAATCTATACCAGGATAGATTAAAGAATTCCACCGTGTTCGCTGAATTCATCAAGAAATTGAGTTCGCCCACTGCTCAATCACTTTTCGACAAACTCTGCGCTAGCAAGAATTTCAATAACTTTTTGTCGAAAGCCAAGAATCACGGTGTTCACCTCGATGTCGTAAAGAAACACTTAAAAGATGTTTTAGGTCTTGAAACCTCCTGTATCAACTAAATGTTAATGTCTTTTTCTTTTGTTTTTTGTCTTTATATTTTCTTAAGTAAAAATATATACTATTAATTTTAATAAGTATATATAAGTAAAATATATCATTATTTCTTTTATACATCCTTCCTATCAACTTTGCATCAACTTAGAAAATTTCATGATACTGGATTAAATAGACTATTAATTTCCATTTGATATCACAGAATAAAAATGAATTTTTATCAAGACTTTTATTTTTTTTTAAATTATATTAATGAATTTTATTCTGTATAAAAACTTAGATTGAAAATTGATTGAGAAATATTTTAATTTGGATTTTTTAAAATTTATAAGAAAGAGAAATACAAATGATGATTTGAATTTTGTTATAGATTTTTTAGATATTAATAATTATTAGTGGATTTCTATTCTCAATGATTTCATTTGCATATAGATTCCTTAATTATATCATGATTGTATGTAACTATATATACAATCATCGTGTGTACTATATATTATTTTACCATTATTGTCATTAATATTATTTCTTATATGTATACAATATTTACAAAAAATAGCGATGTAATTAAACATGTTTTATAGTATTGATAATGAATTCGAACTGAAATAAAATTCTTTCTTGCTATAGAAATAAATAACTTTCATTTAAAAAAGAAAATCATTTTAAATACAATTATAATGATTGATATATAATGGTATTTAATTGCGAATTGAATAGTATATATCATATAATTCTTGAAAAATAAAAGTTTTATAAATAGATATTCTGAAATACGATCATATTGTGAAAGTAGCAATACGAGATATAGAATGAAAATAAATATAAAGAAAAAGATTATAAAAAAAATATAACAAATAATATCATATATAATAAATAATATCAAAATAAAATATATTGAATTCAATTTATACTGAAATCAGAAGAAAAATTTATACTGAAATCAGAAGACATCTATCGACATATGAAAAATAGAGAGCAATAAATAAAAAAATACGAGAAAGTCATAATTTAAAATAGACAGACAAAAAATTAGTAAGAAAAAAAGAAAGAAAGAGGAAGTTAAAAAATATATGTAGAGAGAGCAAGCAAAGAGAGGAAAGCAAAAACCTCGAGGAGAGATTCAAAACCCTAATTTCCTAATTAGCTTATTTCCGTGACTCACACTTTTGTGTCCTGCATAAGTTACTGGGTTAAAGCATTGTCGTTCCTAGTTATTATATCACAAGATATGAATGAGCGCTGTACATACGAATGAGCAAAATACACAATGTGGTTCCATGCAGATAAATTGCGCTCTCCAAAATAATCTTGTAAAAGGATTGATCTTAAGTCTTTCGGGATTGCTATAAAAATATATGAAAACTTGCTTGAATGACAATTATTATTCTCAATCGATTTAGTTTAGAGAATTAATAGAGAATTAAAATTAGTTTAGAAAATGTTTTTCGAAACGAATTTTTGTAAAATCTTTTTCAAAGATTTATATAAATATTATTATATTAATTTTACTTATTAAAATATTGTTATAGAAATAATTGTCCAAATTTATCAAAAAATGAATTCTAAATATTCTTATTAATATAAGTTCTTGATAAATGTATAATATAATGAAACATTTATTTATGATATATGATTTATATAACGATATATTAATACAAGATAATGGTAGATCAAAAAAGATACGAAAATATTTAATCAGTATTTTGAAATAATTTATTTTTCATCAACGTTCATAGATAACGTTGAATATAACTATAAATAATTCATTTTAAAACATTTTACTAAAAAATATAAATATCATTCATTTATTACAATATGAGAACATGATTACAAAAATTATTTTAAAGAAAACAAATAAATATTTTGTATATAATGCATTTATACTAAATAAATTTTCGTTCAATTTCGACAAATTGTTGATTTGATATAAATAAATTATATTCAAATACGAACGCAATCACAAACGAATTTTCACATAGTTTAAAAATAGCATAGATGAATTATTTTTATGTATTAGAACGATCTTCTAATGTATAAGAAGGGTGATGAAGAAATTATAATTATAACTATAAGTTTTATTATATTAAAAGAAAAACGGAGGAAGAAAGGAAAATAAAAAAATGTAATGAACAAATTGATTACAGAAGCGAATGTAGATTTTTAGAAATTTATATATATTATATTCAAATTATTTTATTCTATGTTTAATATGTAAATATGATAATAATAAATATGAGCCAAATATTTATTTAAAATAGCGAATTTGTTCGAAAATATTAACTACAATTCCGATAGTAGGCGATGCAATCTATTATTATTGAATTGTCATCATGTGTTTTGCTAAATTATATTTCTATATTGAAAACAAAAATGATTTTTTAATTTTTCTTGATTGATTTTTTTCTTAGTAAAAAAGTTGATGTGGTTTAATGCTGCTTAGATAATAGAAGCTAGCTTAACCAGGCATTTGCAAAAATTTTGTTTCAATAAAAAATAAATAAATATATTCAAATAAATAGAATATCATAATATCATATCATGTTATATACTTTTCTTAAAAATAAAGAAGCTTGATACATTTTTTTTTACTTAAGAGTAAACAAATTATTTAAATAATCTATTCTTGATGATTTATTCTATATATAATGTTTTGTAATATTTATTTATATTTTATCGCGAATCAGAAAAGATACGCGGAAGAATCGCGCGGTGATACGTGGTCGGCTATGGTGGATCGATCGAAATTTCATTTCGTCGCCAAAGACCTGAGAAGACTTTCGACCTTGTACTGAGGAAGTGGCGTGCACTGGCTTCTTGCGAACCCGTTCAAACTTTAATGCATGCGAGAAGGTCTGCTTGTTTGCTCTCGAGAAAATTGCTCCCGTAGAAGCGGATGTATCGAAGTAAAATGTGATTTTGCCTGGTGACCCAAGGGATTTCCATTTCCTCTTTCCATTGACTGCTGCGTTGGACGCCTTGTCGAAAGAGCGTGTGTCATCTATGTGTATATCGCGAGACATCCCGTTAAATTCGGCAAAGATCGCACTCTATAATTTATGGTTTTATTGTCTTTAAATGATATACTCGAAAGCAAAAAGTTTTCTCGGTTTTTTCTTATAATTAATATATATATATATATATATATATATATATATATATATATATATATATATATTGATATTATAATATCAAAAATTGAAAAGTTTTAATTAATTGAAAATAGAAATATGTAGTAGATATCACAGCATTTTATGATCTTGCGGACTCTGAGATTTCAGTTATGCGACTGTCTGTGGAAGAAAATGAATCATGTGATATGTGATCGAATCACCATATTAATAAAATAAAAAGATAAATTCATCAAAAGATATAAATAATAAATATATAAATAAAATATAAACTATATTTATTAATGATAATTAACTATATTTTTGTTAATTACATAAGAAATGAATTTTTTTTTTTGATAAAATATTTATTGTACATATATGTGATATATATAATATATCACATTTATTTTTCGAATTATAAAAATATTCTTATAACTTTATGGTAAAATAACTAAAATTTAAAATTTGTTATAAAAATAAATTAATTTTTGATTTTGATATTTTTTGGAATTTAAATTTTTAGAATCTATAACATATTTTAAAATATAAAATTATTAGTTGATAATAATTCTATTTTTATATTTGATAAATTTCATCATTTTTTTTCGTGTATATTATTATTTTTCATGTTCATGTAATTACATGAAACTCGTCAAATTAATTTAATATTTTTGTTTCGCAATGCCTTTATATTCTTAATTAAAAATGTGTCTCTCTTCGGTTTATCTCGTAATACTCAAACAATAAATCAGTAGATTTTTATATTTGTTGTCTATATTTTTTTTACAATATGTTTTTAAAATATATATAAATAATCAAAAAAAAATAAAAAATTTACTGATTTATGTCCGAGTAATCTAAAATAAATAAAAAAAAAAATAAATTTTAATTAATAAGAACATTCACATTACAAATTTACTTGATCAGATTACTGTGAATTTTTCACAATTATATGAACATTCTTATATAATAAATTGGATCAAATTGGATCAAAATACATACTAAAGAAAAATAATATAAATATGTTCAAAATCGGAATAAAGTATAAAATGTATTATTATCAAACATAATTTTTAACATTTTATATTGTTTAAAATGTGTTACGAAACTAACAACAGAAAATATTAAAACCAAAATTTAATTTTTACAAAAAAATGTTATTTATTTTATTACAAATTTTTAAAGTATTTGAAATTTTTTGTCCATGAAAATTATAATTTCATTTAATTTTTATTATATAATATCATTTTCAATATTAAGTGTATTAAATAAATTATATACTTTGTATATGTATATATAAAATAACATTATATATTACATAAATGTATATATAAAATAACAAATGTATATATAAAAATAACATAAAAATGTACATACAAATGTACATATATATATAATAAATTCTATTAAAAAAAAAATACAAATTTGAATTTATTTTATATAATAAATTATTATAAAATTATTATATCAAATTATTATAAAATTTTTGATTAATAAATATATTAAAAATATATGAATTATTAAAATTAAGATAAAATTATTGATTAATTGATTGATTATATAATTTTATAATTTTTATTTCTACGAAGATATTAAATTATCAACGAATTAACGAAGATATAAATCATTAGATATATATTATTCAAATATTTTTGTTATAATATTCTTAAAATACATTAAAATACATTAATACTATTGTATTTCAATTAAATTTATGTCAATTTTTCATAATACTTTATAATCTATTGTTTTGAAAATGAAAAGAAATTGATTTGAAAAGAAATTCTTTTTTGTTTTTATAAAAATTATAACAGGATTTGAAAAGTTCTAAAAAGATGGTTGATCGAAATTGAATTTTGTATTTAAAAATATATCAAATGTTAACATATATCAAATGCAATATTTGATAATATCCATATCCATTATCACTTCATCTTATATTCTTTAAGATTTTTTTTAATGTAAAAAGAAGA